AGAACTAGTGGGACACATTCACATGAGTAGAAGAGCAACTAAGTGTGAACATCAACACATGCTTGAACTCGACAAAGAACTAGTGGGACACATTCCCATGAGTAGAAGAGCAACTAAGTGTGAACCGGAACATCAACACATGCTTGAACTTGACAAAGAACTAGTGAAACACATTCACATGAGTAGGAGAGCAATTAAGTGTGAACCGAAATGTCATCACGTGACAGTTGAGCCATGCATGTGAGTGAAACTTGTTCAAACACATGCTTATGGCCCATGAAAGCAACCAAGCATGAAACGGAATGTCATTATGTGAAAGTTGAGCCATGCATGTGAGTGAGACTTGCTCAAACACATGCTTATGCCCCATGAATGCAACCAAGCATGAAACAAAATATCATTATGTGAGAGTTGCGTCATGCATGTGAGTGAGCCTTGCTCAAACACATGCTTATGGCCCATGAATGCATCCAAGCATGAAACGGGATATCATCATGTGAGAGTTGAGTCATGCATGTCAGTGAGACTTGCTCAAACACCTGCTTATGGCCCATGAATGCGACCAGGGAAGAATCGGAACACCATCTAATATTATGCGAGTAGAGAGCACAAGCTAGACTAGTCCAAAACACAAGATTTGAGCATGAGATCATCCATGGAAGGATCGGAGCATTACCTACTACTATGTGAGTGAAAAGCAGAGTTGGAGTAGACCAAATCCCAAGTTTCGAGCGTGAGACCATCCATGGAAGAATCGGAGCATTACCTACTAGCATGTGAGTGAAAAGCAAGACTTAGAGTACACCAAATCACAAGTTTTGAGCATGAGATCATCCATGGAAGAATCGGAGCACTACCTACTAGTATGTGAGTGAAAAGCAAGAGATAGAGTAGACTAAATCACAAGTTTTGAGCACGAGATCATCCATGGAAGAATCGGAGCACTACCTACTAGCATGTGAGTGAAAAGCAAGACTTAGAGTAGACCAAATCACAAGTTTTTAGTATGAGATCATCCATGGAAGAATCGGAGCACTACCTACTAGTATGTGAGTGGAAAGCAAGAGATAGAGTAGACCAAATCACAAGTTTTGAGCTTGAGATCATCCATAGAAGAATCGGAGCACTACCTATTAGCATGTGAGTGAAAAGCAAGACTTAGAGTAGACCAAATCACAAGTTTTGAAAATGAGATCATCCATGGAAGAATCGGAGCACTATCTACTAGTATGTGAGTGAAAAGCAAGAGATAGAATAGACCAAATCACAAGTTTTGAGCATGAGATCATCCATAGAAGAATCGGAGCACTACCTACTAGCATGTGAGTGAAAAGCAAGAGATAAAGTAGAGCAAATCATAAGTTTTGAACATGAGATCATCCATGGAAGAATCGCAGCACTATCTACTAGTATATGAGTGAAAAGCAAGAGATAAAGTAGACCAAATCACAAGTCTTGAACATGAGATCATCCATGGAAGAATTGGAGCACTACCTACCAGTATGTGAGTGAAAAAGCAAGCGATAGAGTAGACCAAATCACAAGTTTTGAGCTTGAGATCATCCATAGAAGAATCGGAGCACTACCTACTAGCATGTGAGTGAAAAGCAAGACTTAGAGTAGACCAAATCACAAGTTTTGAAAATGAGATCATCCATGGAAGAATCGGAGCACTACCTACTAGTATGTGAGTGAAAAGCAAGAGATAGAGTAGACCAAATCACAAGTTTTGAGCATAAGATCATCCATAGAAGAATCGGAGCACTACCTACTAGCATGTGAGTGAAAAGCAAGAGATAGAGTAGAGCAAATCACAAGTTTTGAACATGAGATCATCCATGGAAGAATCGGAGCACTATCTACTAGTATGTGAGTGAAAAGCAAGAGATAGAGTAGACCAAATCACAAGTTTTGA